AAGCAAGGCTGCTTTTAAAGCAAGGATATGGTTAAATAAAACAAGGCCCTGCATAAACCCAGATGTTACGTACTATCCCCTGCTACGGGGCAGGAACCCGGCGATGCCGTGACTCTAACGGCATTCGAACGAATGCAGGCGGGATGCAAACACGACGGATGCGCGCAGGCATCCGCACCGACAGGGAACTCACCAGGACAGGAGGGAGGTGAGATGATCCGGCGTGGTGGGGTCCGGGCTGACGGGGGGAGACGTGACGAAGGCTGCGGCTTTGGCCCCGTTACAGTAGTGCGAGCCGTCGGTGCCCAGGCTGGCGGTTATGGGCTCTCCGTACACAACCGTGCCTGCGGAGCGATCAGTGAATGAGCGCAAATGCTCCCCGTGTCCTGCGGCCGCTTTTCACACAGTGCGGACAAATATTGCCGTTAATGACACAAGGCTGTTTCGCTTATCTTCAGTGTTCTCAGTATTTCAGCTTTTTTAATTCACGCTAATCCCTCAGATTATCTCATACGACTGGAAGATGCCGTCAAAGCAACTTTTGAAGCCATCTGTTTTCTCCTTAGACCAAACATACATTCGTACCTACAAACCCTCACGCCTTCCTCCAAGTCAAAGCAGAGTCTCCTGGCCGGGGGCAGAGGATCCTGCGGCCCCCCGCCCGCCCTGGGCATGCCCCTCCGCCCTCTCCCGCAGGACTGCCTCCACCTCTTCCCACTCTACCCCCAGTTTGAACTAGGAGCTTGCTCCAGATCAGTTTTTCATTTAGTTCAGGACAAACGATTGCAAGTGAATTATTTCCTTTTTTTTCATCTGCAACTCCTGAGATTCAGGTGTCAAAGTTTCAAGCACATTTCCTCAAACCTTTCCAGCTCAGACCAATTAGCTCTGGCACACCCTGCAAAGAAAAGCCAACACCAAGTTTCAGCACCCTTAAAAAGTGAGAGAACTTGGGTGATAACGAGTTCTTAAGCCTTGCAGCTGAAACGGTATTCACACTCCTGGCCATATTTAAGTAGTCCCAATTAGGGTGCAAATACAAAACAACGTTTCACCTTTTCTCTTTGCTTGGGCTAACACATCTGCTGCACCTTTGCTCATTATTTTGGTGACGTACAAGGGGCAGTTGGCTTGTTTCGCGATGGTAATCGCACGGTACACCGCCTCCGCTTCCACCTGCGGACACAGAGCAGGGGCAGGAGCCGTCCCAGGGCTCTGCTACAGCCCCAGCGGCCGCTCCAAAGCCCCGGGCAGCTCTGCCGCAGGGCTGGCGACGTTACCTCCTCGGGGCGGCTGAGGACGTGTCCTTCTGGCCCCGTAATCCCGAGCTCCAGCAGCCTTTTTTGCTCCTAGGTGGACAAAGACGAACGAAAGAGCAGTCAGTGACAAGGAACAGCCTGTCTGAAGCAATGCGGGACACAGAACTCCTTTCCAAAAGTACCTGACGGATGACGGAAATTATGAATACGAGTAGGCGATGCCACTTATACCTGTGACGCTCCATACAGCGCTGCAGCTGCCTCCTAGCAGAACCCCTCATGCTGCGGAAGCATTTCTGGATGGGAACTCCTGTGCCCCAACGGTACCTTTGGCCCTTCCCCACTCTCCAAACCCAGCGGTATTTCTGGAGGATGCGGGATTTTAAACCCGTCACTGCTCACTCGAAGGCTGTGCCAGATACCAGGTATGGCTACAGGAAAGGAACCGACGTGTCCCCTGGACCCGAGGTTGCCTGAGGCTGCTCAGAGGAGCCCAGGGGGGAAGCAGAGATGGGTGCAAGGCACCTGGGACTGTGGGCACAGCAAGTGCCGCCCCTCCAGGGCTTCGCTAGGTCGGGCACACAGCCACGGCCACGCGCGGTCCCCGTCCCCGCTGCGCTTC